ATACCTTCCAAATCAAGTTATCAGTAATCAGTTACCTTTTCAAGGAGTAATCAGTAATTGGATTAAAGTTACTTTAACACTGGTTGTTAATTTGATTCCCATTTTTACTGACTCCCTTCACTTATGTCTTTCACTGCTGCGCTGCGCAGCCTCATCATCATGAGTTTCACCTAATCTGCCACTATGAGCTCTTTCAGTGTTCAGTATGAATCAGTGTCAGAATGGAGCAACAAACTAGATGTGAATCTGGGCATAAAAACAGAGAATCTATGAACAGGTGTTCCGTTTATCGGTGCTACCCTTAAATCCAGCCTACCTTGTGGTAATGCACATGCGCACATCGATGCGCAATGTCCGCAGGTCTGTTGAAAAATATCATCTGTGGTTCTGTCTGATATTTCTATTGCTTTAAAAGGATCTGGAACTTTTGTTTTTCCACTGAAATGTCTGGTTTACACAGTAAATGCCATGTGGGTGAAATTTTATGGATGATACTCTGATGTCCCATTCTCCTGAAAGCAGCACAGAGTTGCACCACCAGAACCTGACAGAAACACTGAAAAGACCAGTTATGATTGACAAAACTATTAATGTTACAGAACTCAGTCTTTTTGCAAATAGTTCAAAGTTTAAATTCCTATTGCTATGCAACTTATCTGGCCATTTTGTGCTAAATTTAGCAACCAACATCAGAAAATGGCACAAAATAAGATTTCCCCCCCCCCTCTTAAAGGCCTACCGATTTCAAGTTGAATGTCATTTGTATTTTTCTTAGACACCTTTAAAAATGATTTTTATTCCAATGGCTTTTTTGTTCTTTGGGAAAGTAATAATTCAGTAATGTGTTTTTCTTTTAAGGATTTTTGATGGTAAACTCTGAAACAATACAAATCAAGACAGCACCAATAATGATAGTAATATTAATTATAAAATAATATTCAGTGCAAGTAGCCTACATTTTCTTTGATGGAGGCAGTGACGGACCTGGATAATGGAAAGGGGGGCGCTGGTCCAAAAAAGATTGAGAAACACTGCTTTAGGTGAAGTGGAGGTTCATTTAAATGTTTTCCATTATTTAAATAACTCATTTAAAATTTCAGCACTTAAAACATTTTTCCAACAAAGAGAATTATTTGAACGCCACTGACTTGCCATATTTAGTCACCAACCCAACAAATTAAAATTGAGTATTTTTTACAGTTTGTTTATAAAAGACATATACATAGCCAAGTTTAAGTGCATTTAATAAAGAGATAAAATAACAAGTGACAAACAGTAAAACATAATGACAGACAAAATCAGAATGAACATAAATAGCAGTAAAAAGATTGGCCACAGTCTAACTATTCATGAAAAAATAAATATGTACACTGATACAACACCCCTATGCACACACAATGCAGACAATAATGGGTGTACATAGAAGCAGACTAAAATGCTTTTATTCTTCCCAACCTTGTGATTACAGCTTTATATAAGCTGTAAACTATGACAGTTTACATACAGAAAATAATGGTCAAATAAAAGAGCTGAAGTTAAAGGTCAAAACACCTCTTCCCACTAAAAACATGTCAGTTTAGACGTTTGTCTAATATTAAAGGGAATTAAGTCAGTGAGAGAAAAATTAAACTTTGTTATTACAGGAAGAGCTGAACATTGATTGGTTAAAAAAAGCCTCATCTTTGAAATTACAATCACATTAGCAAACATGTTAGAGTCCAGAGACAATGAGGGACAGATGAACCAATATGTACTCTCGCTCTACAGCTACTCTCAATGTGTCAACAAACAAAGCAAGTAATGCTAGTCATGGAAGATATTTAACAGCAGCGAGTCAACAACCTGTGAACTGACCAATCAGATGAACAGAAGTGGTCCTTGTTAATGCAGGACATCAGCAAAATTGCTTTTTTCAGTGTGCAGTGAACCTCAGCATGACAACGTGCCATTTCAGCTAGGAGTTCATAATACCAGCCACATCCATGGGCTGGGCTTCAGAACCTGCATCAGGATGAAGAACAACTGGTGCATCATCTTCATTCTGCTATGGAAACAGGACAATTCTGATACTGGCAAATATCAGTATGTCCTTTCTGCAGATTCCTTCTCCAAAATACTGTCACATTTCCTGCATGTGGAAAGACTGTCCAGAGCTTCAGAGTGGAAACATGGAAGAGTTGGCCCTGAGACTACTGCTGATTTAACCAGAAAACACATTTTCTGAGTTTATCTTGGTGGTGGAGGAAGCTGGTTCACCAACCAGTGACATATCAGAAGAGATGGGTGGATGACCGGGAGAATGTGTGGTACTTCCTCTCAAACATGGTTGGCAGGTTGACCATGGAGGGGGAGTGGTGCGCCTTCAAACAAACAAAGACAAAAAAAACCCCCTCATTAATAGGAACGTGGACAAAAAGAAATATAAATCTAATGTTTTTTCCCATATTTGCTGCTAATAGATTTAGGTTATTAAAATGAGTTATTTGCAAAGAATAGGAGTTCAGTTCTTTGAAATCTGATAGTGGGACTTGCATGTAATAATTTTTGCTAGAGGAGTGTAATACTGCATATTCAGGTATTGATCCAATAAATAAATAAATATAGGATCAGTATTGCCACTACAAATACTTGTTGTGTTTTACAGTAGGTGTGTTTTTTTGTATTTCTATGAATTACTTTGTTCAAACAGAATTTGGATGTTTCTGCATTGAATTCTGCTTTTTCTTCCAATGTTGTGCCTGGACCTTATCGTCAGCTGCATAGCATGGCAATGCTGGAATTCTAGCCCATGCTTAATTTTAAGCTAGTAAAACAAATTGCTTGTATTCCTCTCTTCCACACACTTTGCAGATTACATTTTTCTGCTCCTGGTTTTACAGTTTAACCCTCCGGCAGTCTAAAGAGACGGGGTCATTTAAACCCCACCAGTTTTTTTTCCTGTGCACGATCCTGCAAAAAAAAATTAAAGGGGCACAAAAAACTTTTTGGTTGTTTTGTGTGTTGGTTTGGGAAAGACAGTCAGACCGTCACCCCACTCCAAGGTGTTTCCTCACTGTCCAACCGTGATATTTGCCGTGCTGCTACCGAGTATTGCACTGAGGGTTAAGAGACGCTTTACCTTGTGCACGTCCCGGCGATTTCACACTTACTTCGCCTGCGCATTTAACCCCCGTGTCCTTACTGTCTGACCTGGACATCTGCAGTGCTCCTTCTAAGAGCTGGACCAAGACCACCAGAGGATAAACTCGAACTAGGACCAGATAATTTATGTATTTGCACCAGCCCTTAACAAGCTCTTCCTTTGCGCTCTCAGCCACACTGCTTCCCACTTGCTCTGTATTGATGCCAGCCAGTTATATCAACAAGCATTACCGCGGTTGAGTAGTAGACTGCAGATCTCTTTCGTATGTCAAATTTCTATTGTTTCTACCATATATCATATATATTGCACATTCCTATTTGAGAGCAAATACAAATCTATGAGATAGAGTTTGGAACCTATGAAACTTCAAGAGGGAATCTGAATCTAACATATCAATCTTATACTGACTTGGTATCGATATTTATATTTTGGATTGATCCGCCCACCTCTGATTTTAACCTATTAATGTGCTACTCTGGTGGTCTCTGGCAGTGTTATTTGTCATTTCAAAAGAGAAACAAGAAGCAATGTAGAGAGAAACACAACTAACCAATTCCTTCTACATCAACTCAACAGTATGCAGAAACAAAGTTCAGTCGTCCAAGTATCTCCATGTTTTTCAAATGTCTTAAATTCACATCTATTTCAGATTCAAGTTTCCATTTTTTGGCAGATTTTTTATAATATCAATTTGAAAGTTCACATTCCTTTTATATCAGACGTCCTACAACAATGCCAGGAAAGAAGAAAGGACTGAAAGAGCAGACGGCTGGATAGATGGAAAGGGACATACATAAGCTTGATAAAGCAGAATGCAAATGATCCCTGAAGTAAGGAATTTCTATATTTTCTAAAGTTACTCTATTCCTAATTGGTAAAGACCAAAGTTCTTCATGCCTGGCCATTATAACTTTAAAATGATTTCCAGTCAATCAGGAGATTTATTTCCAATAAAAAAAAAATTAGACCAGCACTTTCAAAAGATAAAACAAAGGGCGTTTTACCTCTGGAAGGCTCCCCAGTCATTCCACTAATCTTTAGATTCTGTAGAAGATTAAAGTCACGACTCTGGCTGGGCCACTCCAGTGTTAATGTTCCTTCCATTTAGAAGAAACATGTTTAAGAAATTAAAAGATGACTTCAATCCTAATTCTTCAGGAACATCTGTTGTAGTAATGTTACAATACTCTATTAAAGGTGCACAAAAAAGGAAAATGAACTAGTTTGACTTGAAGAGCTTTGTCACCATGATGTAGGTGTTGGAAAAAAAAAACTGTCAATGTAAAGTTTTGTCCAAGCTTTAAAAGTGGTTAATCCCATTTTTGTATTCAACTAAGCTTTACAAACATGTTGTGATTATTACCACCACCATCAGGACTGATGCCCATCAGTCTGGGCATCAGTCATGCCCAGACTGATTAGTTGGAAACATTTGTCCAAATCAACCCTTATAATCTCTGCCAGTTTTCAGAGACATCCTTTGAAGATTTTGTGTAGCTGATGAGATCCTTGTTCTGAACTCTTACTGATGCAGGGTCTTAGCTTCTAAGGAGTTGATCTTGGTCTAAGATATCACCAGTGCCATTTGTTTTGTTAGTGTCAAACAGAACACACCACTGAGTGAAGTTGAATCCTACATTAGAACCAGTATTGGTGAACCCTTAGAAGAGACCAGACAACAGGTAAACTTTGCTCACATGGGACTGCAGGAATAACATCAGCGGCGGTTTAGATCAGCATCTCTCTGCGAGGACTGGTCAGTACAGCAGACTGTGGCTCCACTTGAGGATCCAGGCATGACTCAGAAAAGGTCCTGGTATTCAAGGTAACAGGCTGAGGACCTGGGCTTCTTGGCTGAAAACCTCCAGAGGCAAGACGTCTGGCCAGATCCTGGCCAGACTGTGGTTGGATATTTTTAAGATGAGGGGAGCCATGACCAGCTTGTGTGAAGATGGATTTCTGTGGGATTGACTTGGGTTGAATCATTGGTACAGAATAAGAGGTGGACTTGTATTCTTGGATGACAGAGCTGTATTTGAGTTCAGGACCACCAGAGGAGTCTGATGCGCTGTAGGAAGAGTGTATTTTGGCTGGAGTGCAGGGGCTACGGATACAAACAGGGATTCTAGGTTTGACAGGGGCATGATCCAAAGAGTTAGAGCGCTGAACCACAGCACTGTTTGTGGTAGATTCGTTCAGACTGAACGTGGAAGCAGAACGGGGCATCTGAGGTGCTCAACAGAAGAAAGACAATGGAGAACAGGTTGGGACATGAAAGGAGCAGCCACAACATCAAAAAGAGAAATTAGTGAAAACCATTCAAATCCAACAAAACATTTCAATTGTAAAATATACATCTTTAAAGAGTTTTCAATCTATAGTTTGATAGTAATATTTTGTATCTTTCAGATAGTTGAGCTTGTTTCCTTCCAAACAAGCTCAACTTTGCAAAACTTTTCACCTTTCATGAACAGCTTCAGGGCAGGGGCTTCATGGAATCAAGCTTTAAGATACAGCAAGTAAACACACCAGACACGTTCAATAACATCTTTCTAATATTGATTTTGTCCCAACTGTGCTGCAAAACTTCCTGATCTGCAAGTACAGACTATACTGGATCTAACAGGACCCTGCATGTCATCCCACACCAAGGAGATGTTTTCATACCCCAAAACACCAGGTGGGGACTTCTTTTGTTTCATCTCAACTTCCCCATACTCACAGCTGAGCAGAACTGGAGAAATTGAGAGGAGCTAAACATCCATCAGTGTTTCAGAAAACTTGTGTTAAAGGGCAACATTACCCAACTATAAAAACACCTCTGGTACTGGGAATCACCAGAGTTGATAAAGAAATTATGCTCACTGGACACCTCATGAGATTCTCCTTATTTGTGCCATAGACTCAACCAAGTGTTGGAAACATTCCCCCAAACTAGGGCTTCACCGACTCCAAACTGACAAACCTGTTAGTCAGTAGGGTCTGCTGCTGCAGTCTATCAGCTTTCAATGTGTTGTGAGCATCTCCCTGCCATCACTGATGTCCCCTTTTTTTCTCCACTCTGATGCACAATTTCTCACTAGTTGCCCCAATGGCCTGAGTGTCTCTCTCTGTCAAATGAACAGGTGTTCATACAAACATGGTCCATGAGGGATTTTATCGCTTCAGATGGGTGTCAAAAAATCTTTTACATGAATTACCTGACCAAAACATCACTCTCTCTACCGACTTCCCCTGTAGTGCAACCTAACGTCAAGTCCACAAAATCAATAGTTGTATGTAAATCTTCTAAATCTAAGGGTTCATTCTACCTAGGTCTTGATTCAGTTGAAGTAAACTATGGTGCGGTTCAAAAGCATATGTGAATGCCAAGTCAATCGGAGACCGCTCCAAAAGCAGGAAATTGACTACACTGCAGGGTATTCTGGGTAAATAAAACCATAACAAACATGTGTGTCTAGAACTAGCAGGAGAAACGGCTCGTGGTCTTTAGTCAAAAACAAAAGAGAAATCCTACAACTGCTACAATCTCACTCTTCCAGTGTCTTCTTCATAGGTCTTCTTGTCAGTTCCTGAAGTTGTTCTTGGTGTAGCGCCACCTCAGACGAGGGGAAAAAGAGATCGTCTACCAGCATAGATAAGCTCAGCAGCCTCTGACATATCTTGGTCTGTTTTAGTTCATTTTTGTAAGTCTTGACTTATGTAGTCCAGCTGTAGTTATGTTGTGATCCAATAAGGCACTACCAAATCAAGAGAACATTTCAGGTTAAGCCCTGGCCTTCATGACACATTGATACCTTTTGCTATACAACAAGAGAAAATGTATAACTGACAACATAAAAAAACAAAGCAGTAAAATGCAAAGATATTTAAACAACTGTGCATTTTTCTTTTTAAACATCTTTAAAAAGAGACATTCTTGGACAAAATATATGGTGAAAGTATAATTTATATGTTCTGCTACTGTTAAAGATCTGTTTTTGTGTTTACTTGAAAGCTACAGAGGGAGTTTGCTGAAGGTATAGCATCTCGTCAAAGTGCCACTGTTCTGTCAGACCCCGAGGCGGTTTGAGCTTCATTATTTTGTAGGATTTCTAGTAAATTTTAGTACTGCTCTAAAACTTTGAGTGGGAGGCAGGATTATGTTCCCTAAAGGTTGTTTCACTGACAGTTCCAAATAAAAAACAAAAACAACAAAAATATATCTTTTAACAGCAGAAGTAAAACTAATTAAGGTGGTTTGGACATCATGATGTTTGCCATCAGGATTGTACTACATACAGCGAGTATCAGAACTATTTAGGAACTGGATATTTTTGAAACATTTTTTTAAGAACATATTCCTTCATAAATGTTTTCAATTAGCGCTGCACAATGTAGCACAAGTCTATCATTGGAATATCAAAGCATGCAATATGAATGTAACAACCAGAGATGGTTGCTACATGCATAGTATACCAGGAATGAAAGGAGCACAATTTAGGTATCAGCCGCTTTGTGCCTGTATGGTAGCAGAGCAGTTGGGTGCGTTCCCTTCCTGTTGAGCTATCCAATAAAAGTAGACTGATTAGACATGATGCTCAAGGAGGGCCACAAACTGCTGTTAACATATTTCTGACAGAAAAAGCATCAGAAAAGTGTTGAAACAATGTTGTAGAATCCTAAGTGATGATGTGCCACTATCCTGTTCCTACTTCAGGCCATCATTTGGATTTAGAAACAACTGTGTGAATTAGAAAATCCAAAGAAACATTGTTTTGGAATAGTTTATCAGAGGAGAACCAATGCACAGTCACTGCTGAGAAAGTCCACCTCCTCGAGAGTGGAAATGGAGAGACACAGGGTTCATTACCATTAGTAGGAAAAAACTTTTCAGGAGGAATGACCGTCTCAAAGTTTGTATTAAGTTTGATTCATTAGGTTTCATCTTCTCATATGTACTCATATGTAAATTCCTCATTGGGGCCTGCCATAAGCAATGCATAAGGAGAGCAGTGACTGACCTGCGAAGCAGGTCAGTCACTGCT